AATACTCAGTGTTAGGTGTCTACTGATGGGACACTCAATTGTATATTGTGCAGTAGAAAGGTTGTGATGTACAACAAAGAGCATGAGGCATGGAGCTTAACAAAAACAGGTAGGAAAGGGGATGTATATTATATAAAAAGTGACACTAGGTTCTCACAACGAGACCAAAGGCTGTGAAACCAGCAGACAGCTTACTGGCCAGCCTATCAGAGGAACACTATTAATACCAGGGGGACGTTGTCCCCTTTTCCCTGAGGGTGAAAGTCGGAGGAAGTCATCGATTCTTCCCACCATAATCTCTGGGAAGGACAGACCTTGCCTTTTCCCTTTTGGGTGATGAGGGTTATTATTCTACAATTTTGAAAGGGCTCACACAAGGGCTATTTCTGTCTCTCAGTGATGGCGAGGCATTGGAGAGTCTGATCCTCTGTAGCACCAACAAACAGTCGTTGTTGCAGCGTCCCCTTCCCAGGAACGTTTCCTGATATCTGTGGGGATTTTTTAAATCTTTGTAAGCGCTAACAAAGTGTTCAAGCAGTGGTCACTTATTTAAATTTGAACAACCTAAGATTACCTGACAAAGGCTTCTAGTGGTGTCTAATGGTGTTGTTAAAACAGCAAGGGATTGGTTGGTTAGTTTGAATAATTGTTCTTAAAACTAATAAGGTAGATCCTTCTATCCCAAAACCAAATCATTCTGTCACATTAACCCAGTAGTTATGTGCTCAAACCTTACCCTGCCGTGTGTTCAGAAACGCTAACACAATTACTTTTTGTAGGGCAGTGAGTAACTGTAATTAAAAGGGTGAAGCATGATCCAAGGAAGAACCCATTAAATGTTGGAGCTGATCCGAATCACAGGGCACACTCATTATTTGTCACTTATGGAAATGGCCTTGGCTTAGATCTGTGCTTTTTTAGGGCTTTTTCAGTATAATTTGTTTCCCCAGACTCTACAGCATGCCGTTTCTAAATTCTCCCTCATAAGTTATGTAGTTATAGTGCTGCTACAACATAATATCACCTGTTGTACTTTTTGGTTGATTGGGTGAATGGGACTTATAGATGTGGATGCCAGAGCAGCTGTCAGAGCAGGTCCTGATGGGGAGGACAAACTGCACAGTGGTTGTGACAGGATGAGGATGAGAGGAAGACAGGCAGCATCTGTGTGTGAGTGGGTGTGTGTTGGTGTGTGTGTGTGTGTGTGTGTGTGTGTGTGTGTCTAAAAGTATCAATGCATGTGTGCTAGTAACACTCTTCCTCTGGCAGGTCCAACCACTAGGCCTGCCTGTGTGTGTGTGTGTGTGTGTGTGTGTGTGTGTGTGTGTGTGTGTGTGTGTGTGTGTGTGTGTGTGTGTGTGTGTGTGTGTGTGTGTGTGTGTGTGTGTGTGTGTGTGTGTGTGTGTGTGTGTGTGTGTAGATCTGGAGCAGTTAGAACAGCATAAGCAGATGTTTCCTCTGTTTGGCTCTAGAACATGAAGAAAATAAAGGGCCTAACCTGGAAGACAGGGTCTCATTGATCACCTACAGTAACCCACTCAAACAGCGACCAATACAAAGTTAAGTTAAGTTATAACTAAAGAACTTAACACAAGGCCTAATTCTGTTAAGATAATTGCATTTTAAAGGCATATGAGTTGATGAAGCAATTCAGCAATGGTGAATCATGAAATCCCATGAATATCTTGTGCATTTAATGTAATCTGCGTGTAGAACTTGCGTTACACCTGCCTTTGAGAATAAGTCCACACGATGTTTGCAAATGAGTGTGATTTGTGGAAGTTGGTGCAAGAGGTCCAGTGAGGTCCACCTCTGTCCTGATAGTCCCGGTGTTGGTGAACTGTGAGGAGTGGAGCAGCTGCACAGCGCTAATCCTAACAGGCAAACGTTGTGAACACAAGTGTTCTGCTGCTGCACAGCCAACCACATGTCAAAAGTGTCGAGTCACGCTGAGAGCAGCCACTTGCCCCAGGAATGCTCTATCACACTGGACTACACTGTATGCATTTCCTTTCCTTCAGAAGACTGCGGCCAATTAGCGTTAGGGAAGTGTATGGTAAAGTATGGTGTGAAATGAGTGACGACAATCAAGACTTTTCCAATTAGGGTGCAAGTTTATGAAAAGCGAGCTTGTCTTTTGATGATCACTTATCAACCCAACCCCTAAGTGGCAACCTCTGGTGATGTAAAATGAAGGGTATATGCGGATGTAGCAAACACTGCAGTTCCTCGGATGGCCACATGGCTCCAAAAGCGATTCAATCCACATAGACCCCCATGTTAAAAAGCCCAACACAGAAGAAATCAACAGGTGTTGCCGGTATAAAAAACTGTTTTGTGTAGCTAATTATCCCATTCATGAGAACTCTATGAGTGGTGATTTTTTAAAGTTTAATTAAGGGGGTGGCCGCTTTCAATGACAAGTGGGTGCAGTCTCTACAGCTTCAGAAACATGCAGTATGGGCGATGTCACATATTCATGGGATTTCATGATTCACCATTGCTGAATTGCTTCATCAACTCATATGCCTTTAAAATGCAATTATCTTAACAGAATTAGGCCTTGTGTTAAGTTATTTAGTTATAACTTAACTTAACTTTGTATTGGTCGCTGTTTGAGTGGGTTACTGTAGGTGATCAATGAGACCCTGTCTTCCAGGTTAGGCCCTTTATTTTCTTCATGTTCTAGAGCCAAACAGAGGAAACATCTGCTTATGCTGTTCTAACTGCTCCAGATCTACACACACACACACACACACACACACACACACACACACACACACACACACACACACACACACACACACACACACACACACACACACACACACACACACACACACACACACACACACACACACACACACACACACACACACACACACACACACTTCTGTATACATTCTATGGATAAGCATGTCCATCATCTGTAGAAAGATGCTAGTGCAACTCAACAGGGAACAACACTTGCAGGGGATGCAAACTATTTCATAATTACAACATACAATGGGGGATAAAAAAGTTACACAACTTTAACAATTACTTAACATAGAAATGTGTCCTGCCACTTTCAACCCTATTGGAACCAATATCGCTTAGACAACATGTTGAAACTCTAAAGCATGGACAAAGAAAGACGACAACAATAATCATTTTTTATCACTTTTTCCTTCCTTCTCTTTTTTTCTTTTCTATTCCTCTTCTTTTTAAGTGCCATTGAGCTTAATTCTACTGTCACACATGTTTCAGTGTATTTTGTCAATGTGTAATTTATTTTGCGGTCTCAAAGCAACCTTTTCAAACTCAATTATTTCTGTTTCTTCAGTGATCCATTCTTTTTGAATTTGTGTGCTTGAAGCAATCTAGTTTTTTTATGACTAGTTTGCACAAAGACACAATTGCAGACACTGATTGCAGATGGCAAGTAATAAAAGAAACATTCATAAATGTTCCTTCAGAAACATTTTGTGTATCTATAATTGTAGTCAGGGCACGCACCACAATAAATCTACAGTCACAACATTACACAGATCCACTGTTTAGTCAAAACTGTTAGCCAGGTGTCATTGTGTAATAGCAAGAGAGTAGCATACCTAACTGTATAATAACATATTACCTTATCGTTTAAATTGTTTTATTTATTTAAGGTATTTTACCAGGAACCATGATTCTTATAATGCATAGTATTTATTCAGTATAACAACTGGCAGTAACATGTCTGATTGTTTACAATGCAAGACAATTGATCCATCTAGTCTGAGAGTGGCGAAAAACCTGACATGTGGCTAAAAATCCCTTTTGGTGTCTATTAAAAATGCATCAATTATATTGTTGGTCTTTTTGTTTTTGCCTGACTATTTTTGTAAATAAAAGCACCTCAAACTAATTTTTTGCAACTCTCATTTGCCATTTTGTTATCTTTCTTTAAAGATGTTTTCTTGCTTATCACCTTTGAGGTGGTAAAAGTAACTAGAAATACTTACAAATAAAAAAGAAGGTATATGGTGTGGCAAAAAAAAAAGAACATCTCCACACTTCTATCCTATGATGAACAATGTGTTATACATTCTCACGACATAATACATTTGATTAGCAATTTAAAAAACAATTCGATCATTGTGTGCTAGAGGCAGCGAAAGCACCTAAACCTAACATTTACAGGAATCCATGCCTGCGTGGTTTCGATGGCAGAGAAAGACACGGTACTGGTATCATATCATTGTGATACTGAAAATGACAGTAACAAGGTCAATAATAGATCACTGCTGACCTTTACCTTACTGAAAGCTACTTTTATTTCCTATTATCAGGGATTTATACACCTGCAGCAAGTGTGAGAATAAACAACACCAGCCATGAACTTGACAAACCCTAATATGACATAAGTGAAGTAACTACACAAACATGCGGTTGTGAAACACATGTCAACATCAGCACAGGCCGGCTAATCCCAGCTACAATAACTTTCAAGTAAAGATCAGTAATGAGCCACAATGTCCACTTACTTTAAAAAACAAGCATGACAGAAGAAGATAAACAGGTAGAAGAAAGCTTTTTTAAAGCTCCTGCGACCGATAGACAAGCAAGCGAGACTAGTTTCAATCAAAACAAAACTACAAGCCCAGCAGCGCTATGATCTATTGTTAACAGAGATGGCATCTGAGGATAGCAGGAGCATTCACAAACACAACCTGTACCAGCTTCTCGGAGCATTTCCTTAACACCTAATTGATTCTTTCCTCTTTCCTCTGTCATGTGTCATCTGTATCTCATGTTTCAGGACATGCATGACACATTTTCTTACACACAGCCCAGGGCTATTTGACATGTAATGTGTCTGTTCCTTAAACAGATTGTGACTCATTCAAAATATGATCATTCAGGCGAGTTTGGCTTGAGATCCAGCAAGTTCAAACACAGAAATAGGACGCATGGACGAGATGTTGCTCCCATGAATCAGTAGCTCACGTAGGCAAAGAGAAGAAAAGAAAAAGTCTTACCTGAGATCACCTCCTGAGGCTAGTCCTGAGCAAATCCCACTGATGCCATTCCTAGAAGACACAATATGCAGTCAAGTATGAAGACAGTCAGAGTGATAAGGATGAAGGATTTTAGATAATGACATTTGCAGGTAACACAGAGAAGCACCGCAGGCACAGTGTTCTGTAAGTTGTCATCATTTTAATACCATGACAACAAATGGGAAATTCCTGTTACTGAGAATGAGATAAAAATAAGCCCTGACACAATATGGTTGTTGTGAAATTAAGTCTTTAATGTGTCTAAGATATGATACTTTGTCACTGTAGTACTTTTACAGTTTACATGGGTGTGACATTTCAAGCACTGGTAAACAAAACAAATAGTTTGTTTTAATGTTTAAAAAGCTCTTTATTTTCCTCATACTGTCTGTGCTGCAGCACCTCTTTTCACCCTCTGTCTGAAACCAGAGCCCAGTCTGCTCTGATTGGTTAGCTGGCCGGCTCTGTTGTGGTCAACCGCTTAGAGATGTCCCACCCCTTAGCCTATCACGTACAATGTGTTGGAGCGCTAATAGAAGCACAAGTGTAGCGTAGTGATGTCACTATGTTTTAGCCTTTGCAGAGCATTTACATACACACAACCCTTTATTACACACTACAGGAAAGGGAAACCCCAAACAATTATAATGTCCCCTTTAATAATTCTTGAATTCAATTACAATAAAACAGAAGTGTGTCATTCACATGAAACCAGATCTCATAGCAGTGGTTTCATGTAACATGAGAAAAGAAGCTGAGTTAATACATAACTGCTATTTCTTCCCCTCCTCTCATACGCACTTGAGGCCTTATCACTCATCACAATGATTTGGATGAGGAGAACAGATTATTCCACAAAGGAGCCAATTGACTTAATGCTAAGTCTCCTTCCTATCAGGTGTAATCTCCTGCTTTCCTCATAGAGATCATCTTATGAGAGCGATGCAGTGAAGCCTGAGGGCCTTTCAGCACGGCGGGTCAGAATGCTAGCTTGACTTCCGAAAGGTAAGGCCCCACCCTTCTCTCCCGGAGCTTCGTTTTAAAGGAAGATAAGGTTCAATTCACCTAGGGGGAACATAAAGAGTGGGAGACGAGTGAAGCAGTGATGGAGCACGGGAGGCGGGGAAGCTGTGGCATAAAAAGGCAGTGAAATGTGAAGTTGTCAAAACACATATTTTCCCTTTTGTTTTCCAAACCGAGTGAATACAGTGGGAAAACTAAGCAGGTGAAAAGCAGCGAGGTTTGAGTTAGATCCCTCAATCTTCAGAAGTCAGGAAATGGGATCAGCTGAATGATGAGCAAGACATCCAGGACTTAAGACCCTGCATTGTCTGAGGTGGCTTTTTAAACGTCTCCTATTATCCATCCTGGTCTTTGAAACCTGAGCTCCTGGCACAGCACATCAGTTACCCGCTTCCTGATAAACACACAGACAAACCTCACCAGTATTCAATTCACAGGAAACCTGGATCAACTGTTTGTCCTGTATCTCTATCCAAACCAGTTTGATGGCATCAGATAATATTTCAACAGCTGATGAAAGTGCCAAAGAGCTGCACCTTCCTCTTTTTCTTTGAAACTCTGTCATTGTTTTTGCGTATTTTCCTTATTCCTCTCTGCCCCTATCTCCATGCATGAGTGCGCTAACAGTGTATTAACAGCTTAAAAGCCTGTGTTGTGTCCTGAGATGACAGCAGCTGCTGGGACGGGCCACACCGAGAGCAAGAAAATGCTTCAATGAAAGGGGAATCTCCCACAATGCCACACTCATTAGCGCTTCAAACAGCCCATCTTCAGTTCAGAAGCAGTGGATAAACAGCTGCATTTCATCAGGGTATTAGCTAGTTTCTGTGTGCGTCTGTTTGTGTGTGTTACACAATGTTATAACAATTCATCCAGGTGGGTGACGACAAAGAGACAAGGGAGCAGGTAGAATCCCAGACTCATTCTGGCTCCCTAATCTCTCCTTTCTGACACACACTTTGATTTGTGAGTCGATCCAAAGCCTGAGCAAACAGCCCGTCCCGTCGCCACCCAAGTAAAGACTTCGAGTAACTTTCAGTCAACTCTTTGGTCTCCCCAGCGTTTGTTCAAGGAGGTTCACCTATCTTTTCAACCCCAGGTTAAGTGAAAGGAGAATCAGTTGATTGGTAGATTTCAGTGTCCTCCCCAATTCTCTTTGTCAGGCTGTTTATTTGAGGCCTGTTAAGAATTCCCCCTCGCTGTTTGTCCCTCGCCAGCATGACCACGCAGATGTTCCTTCATAGAGTTCACACTTATAAATGCATGAAAACATACAATCACACAACACAATGTTGACAGAGATGTTTCAGATGATCACACATAGAGGAAAGATACAACATAAATAATAGATAACCAGGAAGAAAACAGAGGAGAGAGGAAGGTGACGAAGGGAAAGAGCTGCAGGCACTTAATAGGACAAAGACATGAATTCCTGTCCTGTTTAAGCAGGTAAGCATCATTTGTTCTTTGACTTCATACTGAGAGCGTCTATTAAACATCTGTGGAGCTGATAAAAATACAAAACAAGTCATATCTATTCCGAGCCACCCTACACATACCCACCCAAATCCAGTGAGCCATGCAGTAACACTTGTTAAAAACACTGCATACTGTATACACTGCTGCTAAGAGCCTGGCAGTCTTCTAAATGTTAGCATGTTTTTTAGTTGCTTTTTCTGCCTCTGCACACGTGACCTTAATGGCCGGAGGCTTTATATACTACAAATGTTAAGAGTACTACTATTACCAGTATTTTCACTACTATTAATGATGAATAAGGAGTAATAGAATAAAGTTGGGACATCAAAGTGCCATGATTATGGGTGTTTGATGATAGTTACCAGTTTTATTTTGAAATATATTTGTGTGTCCCTTCTGGTTTGACTTCCTGTGTTTCCCCTCCTGTGTCTGAGTGTGTTCACCTGCTGCCCGTGTGTTTCACCTCCCCTCTCCAGCTGTGTCTTGTCTCTGTGATTATCTTGTGTGTATTTAGGTCTGTCTTCCCTTATGTTCTGTGTGCGATCGTCGTCGATGTTTCCTTCCTGTTCCTATCCGCGTTTCTGCTCCTGTTCCTTGTGTCCTCTGGTTGGTACTTGTTCGTTTTTCTTTGTTTTGTGGTTTTTACGTTACCTGGTCTGGTCCCTCTTTTTGTATCAGCTTTTTCAAATAAAAGCTCGCCTTTTGTTTATTTTCCTATATCTGCCTGCCCTGTCTTTGTAATGTGCTTGGTTCCAGCAGCCTTACCCTCACCGTAACAGATCTAGAGTACAGGATATGTTGCTGTTAGGTGCAGTGGTACAATGAGCTAAATCAATTTGCAAAATATGTTTTAATGACTTCATCAATCATGTTGCTGTACTTGTCCTAATGGATGGACAATTGAACCGGCAAGCTAACCAATCAGAGCAGACTGGGCTCTGGTTTCAGACAGAGGGTGAAAAGAGGTGCTGCAGCACAGTCAGTATGAGAAAAATAAAGAGCTTTTTGAACAATAAAACATGTAAACTTGTCACTGTAGAGACACTAACTACAAATAAAAACCAGAAGATTAGCACAATATGTCTTCTTCAAAATTGACCAACATTATTCAGATTATACTGATAATGAAAACACTCAAACAGTTGTGCTTAATGATGTCAGCATTCCAAGGTAAACGGCAGGTGAGCTGTAGTAGAGAGCTGCTAAAGAGAGCTTACCCTTTCACATAAAGTGAAGGAGTATTGAAGAAGTGATGGAGTAAAAGACCAAGGGGTTCACAGCGATAAAAGTGATCAATCAGATCTGCCGTGACCCCACACTGTGTCCTGCAGTCTCTGTGTGTCCCACCACAATCCTTCACATGTCCCACTTAAGACGCGAAACCTGTGCTGACAGCTCAACCTGCTAACCCCTGTGACCCGTCTGCCCCCTCCTCCTGGAGCGGGACGCCGCTGGAGGGAGGAAGTGACACGGCTGTGGAGGTGAGAGGTCGACTCAGACCATGCATTTCAAATGGAAGGGAACAAGATGGATGGTGGCGGCTGCGGTGGAAGCAGCATGTTTTTACTCGTCAAAGAATCTCAAAGGTTCCCCCCCCCCCCCCCAAGTACAATACATGTGTCTTGTTGGTTATGGTTCAGTCTCTCCCTGAGGCTAGGGAAGACACCCTTAAGGTGAGGTTAACTCGAAGAAGCAAAGAGTTTACACTGCAGACCTTTCCTGTTGCTCAAGATGTTTTTCCTATTTTCTACAACTTTTCTCTATCTTTGGGATACTCACACTTGGACTTGTCTTCAGTTACTCATCTCACCTTCCTCGGATTCAACTGAAACCCTTTATTTATTTATTTGTTAAGCGTGCTTCTCCAGCCCGCCCCCGGCTGTCATGATTTTGGCAACGGGCGCTAACGGTAGTAAACAAAACAGTAGAGGACGCCAAGCTAAAGAAGGTTACCTGGGAAAAAAAACTAGAAAATCTTGTACTGCTACAAGCTTTTGGACATGCCATGTATGCATGGAGCTGGCCTGAATTGAGTCTTCACTTAATGTATTCTATCCAACTGACTAAGTAGGAAGTGCCATCAATCCAAAGAGTAGATACAGAAACAAGGCATTGACTTGGAGCTGCACTATCATGGCTGTTAGCTTTGAATCACTTGCGTTACGGTAGCTTCATGTTTTACTAATGCAATTTTAGTTGTTTTAACTTAAACCCTTATAAATACATATGTAAAGCTAGAACGACAAAATGTCAGTTATACCAGCAGCTCATAAAAAAAGATTGTTTGAGATAACCATTTTAATCACCTGAGAGCAGTTAAGGGTTAAGGAAAGGTGTACTGGTTGAATTGTGGAAGTGACAACATTGACAGGAGTTGGGATGAGAACAAAGCCGCCCAGTCAAGATGAGGTGGTTGAGTCAAGCTCAACCACCTCATCTATAAAATCCACACTCCACACCCTACAGTTTGTTATTGTAAGTCTACACAGGAGGCAATACAATCTTTATCATGTCTGGTGGAAATTTTT